TTCAAGGAAGATATTAACACTTTATCGTCCGGTCGTGGTTGAGGCTGCCACTCAGTAAGGACTGGCTTAGTCGCGCGCGCATTTGCTCCCAGTACCGGCTAAATTTTCGCTATTCATTGTGTCTGTCTCTTATACACTTCTAGATGTGTATAAGAGACAGCGACTAATCGTCCAAATTGTCCATTTTCGTGGACGATCTGAGCGTCGAGTAGGGAGACATTACGGTATTAGGGCTGTCTCTTATACACTTCTAGATGTGTATAAGAGACAGCGACTAATCGTCCAAATTGTCCATTTTCGTGGACGATCTGAGCGTCGAGTAGGGAGACATTACGGTATTAGGGCTGTCTCTTATACACTTCTAGATGTGTATAAGAGACAGCGACTAATCGTCCAAATTGTCCATTTTCGTGGACGATCTGAGCGTCGAGTAGGGAGACATTACGGTATTAGGGCTGTCTCTTATACACTTCTAGATGTGTATAAGAGACAGCGACTAATCGTCCAAATTGTCCATTTTCGTGGACGATCTGAGCGTCGAGTAGGGAGACATTACGGTATTAGGGCTGTCTCTTATACACTTCTAGATGTGTATAAGAGACAGCGACTAATCGTCCAAATTGTCCATTTTCGTGGACGATCTGAGCGTCGAGTAGGGAGACATTACGGTATTAGGGCTGTCTCTTATACACTTCTAGATGTGTATAAGAGACAGCGACTAATCGTCCAAATTGTCCATTTTCGTGGACGATCTGAGCGTCGAGTAGGGAGACATTACGGTATTAGGGCTGTCTCTTATACACTTCTAGATGTGTATAAGAGACAGCGACTAATCGTCCAAATTGTCCATTTTCGTGGACGATCTGAGCGTCGAGTAGGGAGACATTACGGTATTAGGGCTGTCTCTTATACACTTCTAGATGTGTATAAGAGACAGCGACTAATCGTCCAAATTGTCCATTTTCGTGGACGATCTGAGCGTCGAGTAGGGAGACATTACGGTATTAGGGCTGTCTCTTATACACTTCTAGATGTGTATAAGAGACAGCGACTAATCGTCCAAATTGTCCATTTTCGTGGACGATCTGAGCGTCGAGTAGGGAGACATTACGGTATTAGGGCTGTCTCTTATACACTTCTAGATGTGTATAAGAGACAGCGACTAATCGTCCAAATTGTCCATTTTCGTGGACGATCTGAGCGTCGAGTAGGGAGACATTACGGTATTAGGGCTGTCTCTTATACACTTCTAGATGTGTATAAGAGACAGCGACTAATCGTCCAAATTGTCCATTTTCGTGGACGATCTGAGCGTCGAGTAGGGAGACATTACGGTATTAGGGCTGTCTCTTATACACTTCTAGATGTGTATAAGAGACAGTCGATAAACATTGGCAATCGAAAAGCCGATAAATAGGCTAGCGGTCGATAAAGTGTTAAAATACGAACCCGGAATAGCTCGCGAAATATCGAGCATACGTCTTACAAATAAAGGCTCGCGAGTCGAATGACGAAATCCAGCGCTACTCGAAAAGCCGAACTAGGTCGGTGACCCGAAGGTATTGCGCTCTCTTTGTCAGCGGTTGACGTTTTCGATTACCTGGTGTCACAGGAGAGCTACTCTGTGGCCTCGAACAGCGGCTTCCTCGTTGAGCCCACTCCGGCGGGGCAGTAAATCCAACGGGACCATAAATAGAATCCTAAAGACCTCCTTTCGCAGGTCCAGCCCGGTTAGAGTCTTCAGCGAACTGAGATGGTCACAGTTTTACCCCGACAAAATAGAAGCGTTACTCTCGCGTCGACCGTGAGTGGTGTACAGACAGAAAGTTTTCGGAGGAAAGTTGTTCCTCTCGTGCAAGAACTCGGCGACAGATTCGTCGATCGTGATTGGAGAACGTTGCGACGCAAGATCGACGAATTCGCACAGCTTTTGAAACAACTTTTTCGAACTCGGTTCGTACGACTTCGTTCGGGTCGTTTTTTTTTGTGACGTTAGAATGATCGATTTGCTAGGCGACGTACGGCAAACTGCTCGAGAAAATTTCGTTCGGTCCGAAGAGCGTTCGTTACGGTTTCATTTCGCTCGCTCGGACATATTTACTATTTTTATACTATTTTCTGCCAATTACTAGTTTCTGAAATACAATGGCCCACAAAAGTGTTCGTACACCTTTTAAGTTAATTTAATAACTTTTTTGAAACTGGACTAAATGACTTGAATAATTCTTTTTTAGATGATAAGGGGACTAGTGTATTAGACAATGAGCAAAATGACTTTTTTAAATTTTGCTATTATTTTCTGCTCTCGTTTTTTTTAACTTTTTTATCTGACCTTGTGTAACAAAAATTGAAAAAATGCCTCTCGTAGATCTGGGTAAGTTAGACTTCTTACAGTTTTTGATCAAAATAAAAAAAAATTGCGATTTTTGCTATCATTATTTTGTTATTATTAATTATTAATTTTTTAATCAATTTTTATTATCATTAATTTGTAATTAGTAATTTGTCACCGTGACAACGTCGACCGATTTCGATAAAATTTTCATCACGCGTACAAGTTACCGAGATCTACGAAAGGCGTGTTTCAAATAAAAAAGTTAAAAAACGAGATAGTTTTCTATTTCTTCTTTTTATCGTTCCAAATAATATCAAAATTTTTAAAAATCATTTTGGTCATCGCCTAGTATACTAGTCCCTCCATCACCTAAAAAAAAACATTCAATACACTTAATCCAACTTTTAAAAAAGTAATTATGTTTCAAAAGATGTACGAACACTTTTGCGGACCACTGTACAGTAATGTCTCTCTAATTGACGCGCAGATCGCGCACAAAAATGGACAATTTGGGAAGAGGAGATACGATTATTCGAGCCTTGCGATTATATATTATTATATAAAAATATTATATAAAAATATTATATAAAAATATTATATAAAAATATTATATAAAAATATTATATAAAAATATTATATAAAAATATTATATAAAAATATTATATAAAAATATTATATAAAAATATTATATAAAAATATTATATAAAAATATTATATAAAAATATTATATAAAAATATTATATAAAAATATTATATAAAAATATTATATAAAAATATTATATAAAAATATTATATAAAAATATTATATAAAAATATTATATAAAAATATTATATAAAAATATTATATAAAAATATTATATAAAAATATTATATACGATTATTAGAGTCTTATTTTTACAGTTATAAATAGTGCACAATTATAAAAACGCGCCGCAAGGCTCGAATAATCGTCTCCCCTCTCCCCAAATTATCCATTTTAGTGGACAATCTGAGCGTCAGTAAGGGAGACATTGCCGTGCTTCCAAGAGACCCTTCTAAGTTCTCGAAGTAGCTCCGGTCATCTGGGCCATTTCTAAATCAGCCTGCTCCACATTCGTCGGCGACTTTCCCGACCGCATCTGGTTCCGCGATTCTTCGAATTCGCGGGGCCCCGCTCACCGGGACGGTCTTTCCATTTCCGTCAGGCCGTTAAACATCGTCGCCACCAAGTGCACGCGGTGCGTGTGGGTGCGTGCTGGTGACCGCGGCGACACGCGTGCCAGGAAACTTGGGCCGTGCGTGTGTCTGTGTACCTCTGGGCGGTGTGTGCTGTTCGTGTTTGAACGTGACTGTTCCCGCGGCCCGAATAAGCCATGATGGGCCGAGAAATAGGTCGACGAAGCGATCGTCTGATTTCCGCGCCGGCAGGAGACGCTTAACAACCGGCGAAACCGGAAGGGTCACCGCGAGGTTCGCGCGGGGGGGACACAGGGAGAATTACGGTATGCGGGTTCATGCGTTCGGAGAGGGGATCGGATCGTTCGCGACTGTTCGAGGACCGATTTCGGAGAACCGGCGGCTCGAGCCTGCTCGTTGCTGCGGCATACCGTACCTTGGACGTGTGTTCCGTGTTTTCTTTGGGGAGAGAATGGCCCCGGGGACTGGTTCGTTGGGGTTCGCGCGTTTCCGTTTCTGGCGCGACGATCACGGCCCTCCTCGGATCGCGCGGCGGCCAAAATCGCCGCGGCCGATTTCCGCGCGCGGCAGACGTCGCGCCGCGGTCGGGAAACGCTCGGCAAACGCTCGGCAACGATCCGACGAGGTCGTCCTCGCGCTCGACCGCCGGCAACGGAAACGGGAATCCGTTCTGCGTCGTCCCTTTCTCCGGGCGCGCAATACGTCGGCGGATGATACGAGATGATCACGCAGAGGGTGTTAGTAGGACTTGACAAAAGCGTGAAATGACGCGCGGACATAACATCACTGAAGCGTTGCTTTTGCAGCGTTTTCAACAACTCTCTACGTTCTTGCAGGCAGTAACTACTATACGTATAGAAACACAACCAGTGAGCAGCGAATTACGAAAAGAAATGTTTTGATATCCCTAGATTCACAATGACGCGCCCCGCGAGCGCACAGCAGAGACAGACGTACGCGCGTCCTTCCCGTCGCGTCGTTTTAGACGCACGGCCGGACGCGCGTGCAACTGTTCTGTTTTCTTTTTTTCCCCCGTTACGTTCCGGCGAACGATAGCTTTGATGATCATGTAAACATATATGTATATGTACATTGATGAGCGTGACTGGATCGTCGATCAAGTGATTGTGACATACATATATAGAAAGTATAATAACAGTAATAATAACGATCGTGACAATAGTAATCGTAATCATAATTATAATCATAATCATAATTAGAATTGTAATCATAATCGTAATCATAATTATAATCATAACCGTAATCATAATCATAATCATAATCATAATCATAATCATAATCATAATCATAATCATAATCATAATCATAATCATAATCATAATCATAATCATAATCATGGTCATAATCATAATCGTAACACGAATAATAATAATAGTGACCGTAATCATAGCCGTAATCATAATAAGAATAATCAGAATAATATATGAATATATGAATATGCCGACATGGGTAGAAATAGCTTAAGGACCTGCTTCTGGGCCAACGACTGCATCTGCTGGAGCATGATCCTTTCCTCCTCTTTTCCTGGAACAGCAGAAAGCAACGAGAAGCTCTTGGGGGGTCTGCTCGGTGTCCAGAGTTTCGGACGGTCTCTGTCTGCGTTTCACGATTTAACAATCAATTTTATTTTTCGTTTATTGNGTGGGGGGCGGTCGGGTGAGAGCCGGGTCAATTTCGGGGTCGTGGATGTGCAGGGAAGGAGAGAGAGATAATAATGACGGAAGCCTTGCTCGATGATGTTACCGATGCTATATGCGACGACAGAGTGATCTCGGGGGGTGTGTGGGGGGCTTGGGGCGGGGGTAGTTCGAGTGGGGCTTGTCCGTGGTCGCAGCGGTTCTGATATCTCGGTCTAAGTTCTCGTCGACAGCGTCCTCTCGTGCCTGCGAGCACGTTCGGGGGGCACAGCTGCTGAAAGAGGTCGACGAGCGTGACGATCTCGCTTCGAACGAGTCCTTATTTATTTATTTAGCTTTACGTTCTCTTTTCCTTTCCTTTCCTTTCTTTCCTTTGTTTCGCTTTGCTTTGCTTTTTTTTTCTCATTCGACAGGGCACACGAGAGTCTTTTTTTTCCCGTTACACGAGACCTTGCCGACTACGGTTTCGGGGGCAACGACGCAGGAATACCGGACAAACTACGTATACTCGCCGCTTCCTCTTCGGCGGCCGAGCGACGAGCGTTTCGCTTTCCATCCCCGCATTCTTTCTGCGCGTCCACCGATTCGCGATCGGCTATTACTCGCGGAACCGGCTCGGTCCGACCGCGCACGAAACCCGCTCGGGGAACGAACGCTTCCCCCTTTCCGCGGGAGTGCAGGAGCGTCTTCTTTTTCGTTTTGGAAATATTTCCGTTCCGACGCGACTTCTGGCGCGGACCAGACTGCTAATCACCGCGTTCGAATGCTCTCTATCGGGGACACCGCCGCGTTCTCGCGGGAGTTATACAGAGTAACCAAAAAATGTCTCGCAATCCGAAAGTAAGGGATTCCTGAGGTGATTTGAAGCAACTTTGTCCTTAGCGAAAATGCAATCCGCGGCTTCGTTTACGAGTTATTAGCGAAAAACAGTGACCAATCAGAGGCGAGATCATTTGACGCGAGNAAAGAGGTCGACGAGCGTGACGATCTCGCTTCGAACGAGTCCTTATTTATTTATTTAGCTTTACGTTCTCTTTTCCTTTCCTTTCCTTTCTTTCCTTTGTTTCGCTTTGCTTTGCTTTTTTTTTCTCATTCGACAGGGCACACGAGAGTCTTTTTTTTCCCGTTACACGAGACCTTGCCGACTACGGTTTCGGGGGCAACGACGCAGGAATACCGGACAAACTACGTATACTCGCCGCTTCCTCTTCGGCGGCCGAGCGACGAGCGTTTCGCTTTCCATCCCCGCATTCTTTCTGCGCGTCCACCGATTCGCGATCGGCTATTACTCGCGGAACCGGCTCGGTCCGACCGCGCACGAAACCCGCTCGGGGAACGAACGCTTCCCCCTTTCCGCGGGAGTGCAGGAGCGTCTTCTTTTTCGTTTTGGAAATATTTCCGTTCCGACGCGACTTCTGGCGCGGACCAGACTGCTAATCACCGCGTTCGAATGCTCTCTATCGGGGACACCGCCGCGTTCTCGCGGGAGTTATACAGAGTAACCAAAAAATGTCTCGCAATCCGAAAGTAAGGGATTCCTGAGGTGATTTGAAGCAACTTTGTCCTTAGCGAAAATGCAATCCGCGGCTTCGTTTACGAGTTATTAGCGAAAAACAGTGACCAATCAGAGGCGAGATCATTTGACGCGAGACGGCCGAGCCAATGGGCGGAACCGGGCTCCGTGCATTCGTCGGCTGGGCCGCCGCGCGCCAGCCGAGCTCGCCTCTTATTGGTCAGTGTTTTTCGTTAATAACTCGTGAACGAAGCCTCGGAGACAATTTTCGCAAAGGAAAAAGTTGCTTCAAATGACCTCGGGAACCTCCTATTTCCGGATTGCCAGATATTTTCGGGACACCCTGTTTTTATTCTGTTTCTCTTCTTTGCCTCAAGTTTTCGCTAACTCGTCCTTCCGGGCCTACGCGCCGAATTATAACGTGAACTAAAACGGTCGCACGTGTAGCGTCATCGGAGCTTGAGCTCTGTTGACAGAACGTGTTGCGATAAAATAAGCGATAAAACGATAATCATTGTTGGATCGAACGATCGAATTTGTTGTTGCGCGCTCGACCGACCTGTTAACCGGTCGCGCGATTGTTCCCGACGAATCGAGATTTCGACGCGAGAACGGAGTCGATATCCGACTTTGGGCGTCGCGCGAGACGCGAATATCATTTGTCGCGGTACGTTCTTGAATACGTTATCGGTCGGAGCCTAGAGAGCGTGCTCATCCTGACCCGGTTAACAGGTTAATCGTGACGTCTAAGGGATTGATCGGTTGAGACTCTGTCGAATAGCGGTGCTAATGAAGTCAAGGTTTCGATTGCTATGGCACTATGCGTCGTACAGAGATCGGTAATCGTAGAATGATGCGCAGCTTGGCAGAGAATCGGTAAAGGACGAATGCTCTTTGGTCCTTTCATTTTTTTGTTTGTTTTGGTTTTCTCTTTTTTCTTTCGTTTTCACTATAAAAAAGGTGAACGTTTCAGCGAATTGTGACTAGAAACGCGCCTCGGGAGCTGAGGCGAACATTAGGGTTCGCGTTAGGTTTAGAATATTAACCAAACGTTAGGTTCACAGAGTATTATTAACTCTGATCATAATGCTCGAACGAGCCATCGCGATCGCGCGCCCATCGTCCTGTAACCCCGCGTTTATGTCGCGCGGTCCCGTTCGCCTGAGCTCCGTCGTTTCCGCGCGTGTGTTGCACGCGATCGTCCCGCGAACGATGCGTTTCTCAACGGAATGACAGCGTGTGCGTGGGGAGAAGAAATTCGAAAGGAATGCCTCACCCATCCCCTTGTTTTGGAGCATCTCGAGGAGCTTCTTGATACTTTCATCCCGAGCCTGCAGCGTCTGTTTTTGCGTCTCTATTCTCAATTCCAGCTCCTGCAACAGAAAAAGCGTGCCGCGCTCTAAATAATCCGGCGCGCACGGACGACGGCGCGGTTCGCAGCCGGCTGATTAAAGCTCGAAAATTTATCGCGACGCCCGACGGCGATGACCGAAACGCGTTATCGCGCTTTCGCGACGGGGTCCGCGGCGGGGGGGGGAGGTTCCCGCGGCCGAGGGGGGCGCGAGGCCGCGTCGGTGTTTTGGTAACGCGAGACGAAAAAACGACGTTCGACTGGAAATCACCGGGAACGAACGCGTAAATACACTTACAGTAAATTCTCCCTGATTGACGCTCGGATTGCGCACGAAAATGGACAATTTGGGAAGAGGAGACACGATTTTTCGGGTCTCGAGGCACATTTATATAGTTGCCGATCGATAAAAATGAGATGCAAGGCTCAAATAATCGCATCTCCTGTTCCCAAATTGTCCTTTTCTGTGTACAGTAATGTCTCCCTAATTGACGCCCAGATTGCGCACAAAAATGAACAATTTGGGAAGAGGAGATACGATTATTCGAGTCTTGCGGTTTATCTTTTTAGTTATAAATTGTCAGTTAGGGAGACATTATTGTACAGTGAACTCTTCCTAAATAACTTCCCTAATTGACGCTCAGGTCGTGCACAAAAATGGACAATTTGGGAAGAGGAGACGCGATTATTCGACACCTGCGACTCGTTTTTTATGGCTATTGACAATCGGTTACTATGAAAACGAGTCGCAAAACTCGAATAATCGTACCTTCTCTTATCAAATTGTCCATTTCTGTGTACAGTAACGTCTCTCTAATCGACGCTCAGATTTTCCACAAAAATGGACAATTCGGGAAGAGTAGATACGATTATTCGAGCCTTGTAGCTCGTTTTTACAGTTGTTGAAATCGATAAGCATAAAAAACGAGCCGCAAGGCTCGAGTAATCGCATCTCCTCTTCCCAAATTGTCCATTTTAGTGGACAATCTGAACGTCAGTAAGGGAGACATTACTGTACAATCTGAGCGTCAATTAGAGAGACATTACTGTACCGACAAAAGTTAAGAAACAACGCAATCGTTTGATAAATTTCGGTAATGGATTCGACTTGCAGAAAGTCTTGCAATTCGACGATCTAGTTTTTCATCCGTTTTTCGCAGTCTGCCAGTTCGTGGTGCCATTTTAATAGTTCCATACTCATCGAATCGTTTTATCATTTTGGCGATAAGTCACTCCAATTTAACAATAAAGCAGAATTAATGGAAACGATCGCGAAAATATGGTCAGAAATTCCGACTGAGTTTTGCGTTCGTTTAATCGAATCTATGCCACGCGGATGCAACGCAGTACTCGAATCCAAGGGTTATCCAACATCTTATTAGACTGTTATGAAAACTACAGTCAATGACGCGTCGCTGTTTTTCATTATAAAAGTGATTATATAACTTAAGCGATGTGTATGTTTCTTAAGTTATGTCGCGCAGTTTATGCCTTATATTTCTTCGATTCAATTTAATTGTGACTCCCGTTCAAGTATGTTTGAGAAAAAACTCATTGAACCTTGATGTATGGGATGTGCTATCTCATCATGCTATTTTTAGTTCCGACGTGTTTCTGGTACGTGTTTACAATAAATGTACTGTAAAAATGCTATATATTGTTGAATTATCTTCTAATTTTGCTTACGCAGTCTTGAGACCCATCTTTTGTTATATGTGTCGTATTATATCAAATGTTTCGGTTTAACACATATATTTTATTAATTGAATATTAGAAACGTAAGAGTGTTTGAATACTTTCGTGTATGAGTGTATATATCTTAGAAGATAGAGAATATACCGAAATGTATCAAACGATTAAATTGTTTCTTAACTTTTGTCAGTAAGTGTATCTTTCGTTCGGTTTCCCGGCGGGAAAACGTCGCTCTTGCGAGAAAAAAAGAATCATTCGCGCCCGGTGCAAGACGGTTCGTTATTCCGTTCCGGAGTAAAAACTGCTGCGAGATGCTCGATCGGAAGTTCGCTCCGACCGCGGTGAAACGGGAGAAAAGGGCGAAATGGGCGAAAAGGGCGAAGCGCGAGCGCGCGAAACGGAACGCCGTATCGACGAGGGAAACCTGTGCGCTGGATCTCTCCACGCTTTTCCGCCGACGGTGTCGGCTTGGGAAAGGAAACCGGGGACGGCCAGCGGCTATCTAATTCCAGGCTAATTACGTTGCTGTCGTCAAAGCGGCGGTCTAAATTCGTTACGCGGGCGTCAAGCGACTCGCGCTATCCGCCGACGATGCGACGCGAGTCGAACATTTTCCGGGAAGACAACTGCCACCTGGTTTCCTTTGTTTCCTGCTTCCTCTCGCGCTCGACCAAAAAAAAAAAAACAGCTGATCCGAGGAAGTTCATCGAGACAGAACAGTTTTAAGCGACGCTTTTCGACTCGATTCCAGTCTAGGGATCGATCGATCTGTTGGAAATGGGCGCGTTGCTCTTCGACTTCGTATCGTATCTCTGCGAATCTCTACGAATTTCTACAATCTCTATAAAAAGACGCAGCAAAAGTATGCAGCAACAATTTGCTGCGTTTCTTCTTGTTGAAAAAGAAACATTAGCCTCGGACAAAAATTAATCTATAGTTTAGACCGAGATTCGAAAATGTCAGATCACATTTCCGCCGGTTCCGTCAGCGCGCACCGACGGTGATATAAATTGTATATTATACAGGGTGTCCCGAAAATGTTTCGCAATCCGAAAGTGGCGGGTTCCTCAGGTCATTTGAAGCAACTTTTTCCTTTGCGAAAATTTCCTCCGAGGCGCCGTTAACGAGTTATCAACGAAAAACAGTGACCAATGAGAGGCGAACTCTGCTGGCGCGAGGCGACCGAGCTAACTCAGCTTCGTGCGCCGATTGGCTGGGCCGCCTCGTGTCCAGCCGCACTCGATTCTTATTGGTCACCGTTTTTCGTTAATAACTCGTAAACGAAGCCTCGGAGAACATTTTTGTAAAGGAAGAAGCTGCTTCAAATGATCCGAGGAACCCGCTATTTCCAGATTGCGAGACATTTTTGGGACACCTGTAGATACCGCGATACATCATCGCCGGTGTCGTTAGAGCACATCGTGCTCCGACCATTAGCGATCCCAGTATTGCGTATACGATGTAAAACGTGACGAATAACCGTCTTTGATTGGTGGAAAAGACCGTGTCAAAAAGTGTAGATAAGCAGGCGATTTTCAGTCGCCGGTCTCTTAGTTCAAGTCGGTCGCTCAGTCATTTCGTGTGTGTACCTTCTCTCAAATAAAAGTAAAAATAAAAGTTTTAAGAAAAACAATCAATATCATATTCATCTGGGAGATAATCCAAGCCATAATCCCAACACTTCTGGACAGAATTCTCGAAGATACGCTGTCGGACGACAGCATTAGACCTTTCTGCTGGACCGAATGTTACGACAATGCATTCCAGGGTCGGTCTTCGGTGAAACGAACGCTTATTCTAATAAACCTAACTCATCGGTACACGTCTATGTGTTGTATCGCAATGAGTGATTTGCAAGCAACGGGATACGATCGATGGTCGCGTTTACGCGGATAGCTTTCTAGCTGGCGAAGGCGCACAGTCGGAACACGCTCGGACCCTTTTGCTGGACGCAATATTATCGGGATCGGTGTACTCCGGGAATGCTTCTAGAACCGTTGCGCCTGGTTCGCGTCTAAATATTGTTGGAGCGAGTGGTTTGCAAGCAACGCGGGATCGGATCGATGGTCGCGACGACGAAGCGGGGAGGAGGCCGACGGGGGTGCTGAATAATCGCGCGGCTGGTAAACGGTCGGTTTGGAGCCGATGGACCCGGCCACGATCGTCGGATTCGATAATAAAGGCAGTGGGTACACGGCCAGAAAGCGACTGCATAATTTGGCGCGTGGCCAAAGGCGACCAGTTGCTTCCAGTGCGTTGCACGCTTGACCTGTCTGCGCGACGATTTGGCCGCGGCCGCGGCCTCCGCCGTCGCCGCCGCCAGTGTTCGCTCGTTCGGTAGAATTTTCAATCGGCGCCCGTCGAACGGCGGATTTAGAAAAGGGTTCTTGAACTTTCCTCTGGTCCGCTGCCCGTGCGCCGACAATATATTTGGAACGAGCCCCGCGATCGATACCCGACTGCGATAAGATTGCCCGGTCTTCGTTCGATCGATCCGTTTCGACAGCCCTCTCCCTCGTGCTCGGTCTATTCGATATCCGGCTGCTAGACAACTGACCGTCTGGAACGCCCATCGTTGCAGTCTCGTTACTAATCGTCACTGATACACTCTTCCTTGTCGCAGGATTGTGCTTCGATTTAGCGTCGACGTACGCTGAATTCTTCCTAATTGACGCGCAGCTTCGAAACGAAAATGGACGATTCGGGAAGAGCAGATGCGATTACTAGAGCCTCCTGTCTTGTTTTTGGAGTTGACGTTCGTCGACGATTATGGAAACGAGGCGCGAGGCTCGGATATAGTAATTTCTCCCTAATTTGCGCTCGGATTAAGCATAAAAATGGACAATTTGGGAAGATGAGAGACGATTATTCGAGCCTTAAGTTTCGTTTTCATAGTTGCTGATTGTCGACGATTATGAAAACGAGATGCAAGGCTCGGATATAGTAATTTCTCGTCAATTTGAGCTCAGATTGCGCACAAAAAGGGACAATTTGGGAAGAGGAGATGCGATTACTAGAGCCTCATGTCTTGTTTTTAGAGTTGACGTTCGTCGACGATTATGGAAACGAGGCGCGAAGCTCGGATATAGTAATTTCTCCCTAATTTGCGCTCGGATTAAGCATAAAAATGGACAATTTGGGAAGATGAGAGACGATTATTCGAGCCTCCTGCCTTGTTTTTATAGTTGACGTTCGTCGACAATTATAAAAACGAGATGCAAAACACGGATATAGTAATTTCTCCCTAACTCGCGCTCAGATTGCGCACAAAATGGACAATTTGGGAAGATGAGATACGTTTATTCGAGCCTCACGTCTCGTTTTTATAGTTGTTGAGGATCGGTAACTATAAAAACAAGCCGCAAGGCTCGTATAATCGCGTCTCCTCTTCTCAAATTGTTCATCTTTTTCTACAATCAAAGCATCATTTGCAGAGAGAGAGAGAATTTACTGTACATTCGAAAAACAAAGCGTCAATTCGACGATTTGCAAATATATTTATAATAAACTAAACTCTAAAAGTGCTAGCAAGCGATTATGTTCAAGAAAGAAAGCGTCGATTCAAAGGTTCGCAAGAGTATTTTTCACACATTACAAATGTCTATTTTTGTGTGCAATCTGAGCGCGAATTAGAGAGAATTTACTGTACAATCTGTGCGTCAGTTAGGGAGACATTACCGTATTGCGATACTCGCGGTGCTGTAAAATCTGTGGAACCGTCCGAGGTGCGCGAACTTGGCGAATTAAAGTTATGATTAAAACGCGTCCGTTGAAACAAGGTTCAAAACGTGTGTAAATCGCAATAGAAGAAACATGCTAAAAAACAAGATGCACGTAGTACGTTAAGCATTCCTTTCATTTTATCTTTTTCGTGTGTTACGACTCGATTATGCGACTGCGGGCAGATCTCTGCTTCCATAGTCTATCTTTTTATTCTTTTATTTTTTATATTCGGAGTACCAAAAGTGATCATAAATTTTCGAGCAAAAGCGCATCCAAGTCTGGAATCTAAGATGATTATAATATGCATGAAACGAAGATAGCCAACTTGTTGACAGAGTGAAATAGTGAACGCGTGCAGCAAAAATTAAAGACTGACTTACTCCGTTAACCCTTTCATGGGTACAATACGAACGTTCAAAAAACATTGAAAAATCCCCTTACCGTAATTTAATCACTCATTAATATTCAGCAGTAATATTCATACAATAATATTCGCTTTTAATTTCTCACCCCTCAAAATCACGACTGATGGGACCTACACTTCGCGCCCTCATCTCTCATTGGTCAGTGTTTTTCGTTAATAACTCGTAAACGAAGCCGCATATTGCATTTTCGCAAAGGAGAAAGTTACTTAGAATGACCTCGGCTACCCCACATTTCCATAATCCCAGACATTTTTGGGACACCCCGTATACAGATGGCAGCACAGTTTCAACGATGACGAAACAATGTTCGAACAATATCGATGAACAATATTTGAGCCCGACGTCCATCCTCGCACCAAAAAAGTAGACGAGAAGCTTAGTTCCCGGTGCCTATGAAAGGGTTAACGAATTCACCGGAACGGAATGCAGCGAAGTTTTACAGAGCGTTCAGCCCGCTCTCTGTTCCAGCCTCGCGGAATTAGTTATTTCGTCCAGCGAATCACATTTCGATTCGATCGAACGTTTGCGGTCGCCGTGTTTAGCAGTGAACGTGTTAAGAGCGTGGTCGAGCGTTGTATCGCCAGAGCCGCGTCTACTATTCTGCGTGGCGAACGCTGTGTTTCACGTGCGGAGGCGAACGTGTGTGCAGGGCGAAGGCGATCCGGCCCGTGATCTCGAAACTGTCGAGAAAAACGGCGGGTTTATTTGGACGCGATCTAAATTCGGTCGGGGAAACGAGTCGGCGGGCCGCGTGTTCCGCGGCCGTTTATTGATCCAGCGTTATTCGGGGGAACCCAGGGATCGCATTCGGCGCCACTGGCTGGCAGACTTAACGGAGTTATTGCGGCAGGCTGTGATACCCGTTGCCAAGATTTCCGGAAGCGACGCGAACCGTCGGCAGACAATCGGTCGTTTACCTCGAGAACAAGATGCCTAAACCCTCTTGTCTATTTCGGTTACGGTAATTCGCGCGACGATCCCGGCCGCGTCCGTCAAACCGCGCCGGTTCGGGGATTAGGAGAACGATTCCGCCCGCTAAATCGCTTGTTCTCTGTCAAAACGTTGATTAAAGCGGATCCACCGATCGTCCCGCAGCTTATGCGAGCCCCCGATTATTATTAATCTTCGGGATAACGCGATTACAGCCTGCGAGCGGACTCTTGATCTCTCGCGCTCGATCCCGGCGCGCGCCGCTTTTCTTCGAGGGGGCGGTTCGGTTTCGTCGATCTTCGATTCTCGGCTCGAATCAACATCGTCTCGATCGAACGCGTCGTTACCGACACTCGCAACAATTCGCAACCATCGGTGAAACGAAACACTCTTCAGCGATGTTTCTCTTTTTCACCGGCTTACACACGTCTGTTCGCGTGTCTCTCTCTCGCTGAAAATGAATAATTCAATTGAACAATTTTTAACCCATTTCTTATGTTATCTTGCGGTTGCTAGATTTACGTTGGTAGCATCCCGAGGTCTTTTCCGAGCCTATTACGGGCTTATCTTGGAACTGTTAATCCTAGAATGGATACAACAGGATGTGTATGCACTTTCTTCGCTGAGCCTCGACTGGCGGCTTCGACAAAGATTTCTGTTTCAAAGCACCAAAGCACCCAATAGCTTCGTGTGTACACCTATCGCGAGTATAAAAAAAGCAAAAAAAGTATCCATTCTAGGGTTAATCGAATCTGAAATTCTCTAAGGATTGCTTCCGAATCTGCGAAGATCCTGGAGGTCCGTGCGGGGTCACCGGAGGTCGCCGGAGGCCCTTTTAAGGATCTCGACAGCCTCCCGAATGTCGCCGGAGGTTTTTCAAGGATTTCTAGAGACCCTTAGGTACTTAGGAGGGCTTATTCAGATCTTCGGGGCTCCCTCCACGGGTCTTTAGACCTTTCTACGTTACCTAAAAAGAAAGATAGGGGGCGGCGGAGAGAGAAGGGGAGAAGGGGAGCGCCGGAGAAGCGAGCTGCGGGATATAGATGAAGGAGAATATGAGAAAAAAGATGAGGGAGAAGATGAGGGGATAAATGCGGGGAAAATATGAGGGAAGATCCTCCAAAGATTACGATTGAAGGACCTTGAAAAGTCTTGGCAGAAACGGCGAGGTTCCTGAAGGGGGGTCCGTCGGGCACAGCGGCTCGGCACGGACCCGACGACGTTTCTCGACTAGGTAAAAAAAAACTCTATTTCATCTATTTACCGTTTACTTGTGCGCATGCCCGTGTATCGATTGCGCTGCGATCTTAACAGAGTGAACAGGTGTCTGCTAAAAATGTGACATTCTAACGATCGTGTAAAAGGATCGCCGCAAACAGATCTCGAATCTGTCTCTGCAACGTTAATTCATCGGCGACGTTAAATTAATTGATCCTCATGTTAACCCTTCGCGCTCGACTCGGCCTCGGCTATTCCAGCCGGCAACCCTTACGTAGCTTCGACGTTTCGACGGCAGTCGCGTCCGTATTTTTCAATATTTATCACGCCGATTCGTCGAGATCGACGTCGATCTCCTTGTCGAACTAAATGTACGCGCATTTAAATAATTATTTGTCGATCCGAAAATATTACAGCATGTTTGAAAACGGACCAACTATGCACTTCGAACGCTATATAACATTCTTTATTATACTCGGAGCTATTATACTGAGCTATATGTATATACCGATTCGCGGTTAAACGCGTCTCGCGAGTCTCCGAGTGCGAAGGGTTAAGTTCTGATCAATTCCAAGGATCGAGAGCAAGAAAAAAAAGAAAAGACAGCAAAACAGTTCGGGAAGAGAAATATCGCGTTGTAAAATCGATGATATCGTCGCGCGGAAATGTTTTATCGTTCGATGATACGCGACGCCGTGATTCATGTGCTCTGCTGATCCACGATACGAAAGCCAGTCGGAAGAGACTTACCTTTATCGTGTCGCGAAGTATGGCGATCTCTCTGGTCAGATGCTCGTTCTCGTTGTACAAAACCTCCATTTGTTGCTGCAGCTCGACGCTCGACCCGCGTATCCTCATTCTCAACTCCTCCTCCAGTTGGCGCACCATCATGCTTTGTTTCTGGAAAAAGTAAACAGTTCGGCGCGTTAGGGAACCGTTTGCGAGCACGTGGGCGTCGGCCACGACGATCGTGTGCACACGCACGCGGGCGGTTAGGCTCGCCGCAATTTATCCCCCGGCGGATCGGCGATCCCGCCCCCGCAATTTGCCCGGCGAACGGTCCGCCCCCCCCGGCTTCCGAGGGCTTGTTGTCCCTTGGAAATACACTTTTACCAGGATAATTGCACACTCGACGCCACGTGAAACTACTTCAGGCATGAATAACTGATAAGCGGATCGATAGAAAGCCGACGCGGGGCGACGCGGGGCGAAACGTTGCCATTCCGCCGGAACGATCCGGTCAAACGGACCGGCTCGTTTCTCTTGCTTCGAAACCGAATCGATAATCTTATTCCCAAGGAGGACACCTGGATACCACCGTGCTAGCCCCGCCGCCGTTATCGCCGCCACTGTGTTACCAACAACAATGTGCAGACTTTATTGCATCGCGTGGAAAAACGGCCGAGATTTACCGTCACACCGTCGCTGTAACACTTGCTATCACAAAGTTGCCGTACACTTTAATCCGCGATTTATTCCACTCGTTAATCGCCGGCAGATGCGATTTGCTCGTGCGTAATGTAATAAAAGTATACTGTTCTGCTTCGCCCCGCACGCATAGGTCAGCGGTTCTCAATTCGTCGCAGCTGCGGTCGAAGTCAGTTTCATTGTGTTTCAGCTTGCCGATGGCGCCGCGGGGTTCTAACGACACGCGATATGAAAACCAGGGTTAAATGTAATGTAGTTCATTTCTACAGGAAATTTCGGGTTCACGTGAATTATACTGCCATAGTTCTACGCCTGTGTAATTTATTGCTGCGTCGATGTAGAAGGTATAAGGTATAAGGTACGTGGTAGGTACAGTTATTTCTCCCTAATTCGCGGTCAGATTGCGCACGAAAATGGGCAATTTGGGAAGAGGAGACACGATTATTCGAGACGCAAGGCGAGTCTTTTTAAAGTTGTTGACAATCAGCGGCTTGAAAAACGAGACGTAAGGCTCGAATAATCGTGTCTCCTCTTCCCGAATTGTCCATTTTTGCTTACAAGCTGTAGGAAAATTAGGGAGAATTTATTGTATTAACTATTTGGCTGTGTCGATTCATTTTTAGGATCAATTATATATGCGTTTCTTTATCGATCACACTGGGCGCAGTTTCTTTCGACAAGTTCTTCTAGAATTACAGTAATTTCTCCCTAATTCGCGCTTAGATTCTGCACAGAAATGGACAATTTTAGAAAAGGAGATACGATATTTGAGTTTTTACAGTCACCGAGAGTCAACAACTATAAAAATGAACCGCGAGGCTCGAATAATCGTATTATCTCCTCTTCTCAAATTGTCATTTTTGCTTACAAGCTGTAGGGAAATTAGGGAGAATTTATTGTATTAACTATTTGGCTGTGTCGATTCATTTTTAGGATCAATTATATATGCGTTTCTTTATCGATCACACTGGGCGCAGTTTCTTTCGACAAGTTCTTCTAGAATTACAGTAATTTCTCCCTAATTCGCGCTTAGATTCTGCACAGAAATGGGCAATTTTAGAAAAGGAGATACGATATTTGAGTTTTTATAGTCACCGATTGTCAACAACTATAAAAACGAGCCGCAATAATAATCGCCGCCCGAATAATCGTGTCTCCTCTTCCCGTATTGTCCATTTCTGTTTACAAGCTGTAGAAAAATTAGAGAGAATTTACTGTATAATATAAAACTATGGAAAATAATATAACATAAAAAGTAAATGTCTCTTCTACTGTATTTTTAGCATTTCAGTCAACAATAAAATAATCAGTTCTGAAATAGTTCGTTTTTATAAAATTCTTATCGTATAGTTTCCAAAACGTCTACATCGTAAGGACACATTTTGAAGAAATTTCCCCTTTTCTAACGCTTTAACTGCCATACCGATGAAATAACGGCACCCCTTCCACCCTCCTCTACATGCGGCACCCCCTCCTAACTTTTTAACTGTCATATCAATAATCTGAAAAATGTCATACAATGAAATTAGATTATTGAATGAAATTAAAATTGAATGATAAATGATAAAATATCACATAAACTACTTTTTCAACATTGTCGCGCTTTATATCGATCCTAATTAAATTACGAACACGTAACAGATTAGCGTAACAATTGATTTACAAACGGAACCAAATGATTTCGTCATCCATACGTATATACGTTCTACAGTCATGGCCAAAAAAATAGCACATATGTGCTATCTTTAATTTCTCGAAAACTACGTGAAATTTCTCAAATATAAATTATTTTAATAATATAATAATTATAATTTTAATAATATAATAAATAATTATAAGTATTTTAAGTTTACCACACGAAAGGAAGGAACATGTTAGTAAACAAGATCGATCTCACTGATATTCGTAGTTCGTCGAAATAACGTGTAAACACAAGGACCGAAATAATAGCACATTTACAAAATCCATACATAAATTTATTTTAGAACACACAGTTTACATCAAAATTAGTAATTAGTATAACTGACTCTATTCTCAATGACTTCAATTATTCGATTTGGTAATGATTTGAACAGTTTTTTTTATTGTTTCATGGGATAAATTGTCGCATTATTTCACGACGGATTCTTTTAATTCGTGAATATTATTACATTGCCTTGCATTCTTGTATACGGGGTTATCGAAGAAGAATATCAGAAACAAGTAGTTTCAACCTGTCCGTCAGTGTCAACAGGAGCCCGCAGAATTTGTTAATGCTATAAAAACACGCGCCTGAATTCCAGAATGAATTTTCACCGCAAGAAGGAGATCTAACGCCACTTGAAAACCGTCCCCGCCGAATCGCGTTAGACCGCATAAACGCGTTCCGTTCGCCCGATAGAACGATGCGAGACGGAATAAGATTGCGGGAAACGCGCGGCGGCGACGGGAACGAAAGAAAATCGGCCGTTTTCGGAGTGAAAGACGATTACGACGGCTGTAAAGGAGCTTTCCAGGCGCGTTGTATCCGCGGAACAGTGCACGAAACCTTTCGGGCCGGGTAAAGTCAATATTTCTGCGGAAGTTCGATCCTGGTACGTGTTCCTTTCGGAGTCGCGACTTGGGAAAGCTTTTCCCTCCTCCCCCCGGTCTCACCCGCCGCGCCGTCTTTACGCTACGGTTGGGATATTTCCTTCCTGCCCAGCTCCCCTATCTTCGCCGGCTTTTTACGCCGCATCTTTTATAATACTTTTCCTCTCCGAACTCTCCGAAAACCATCCCGACCGGCGAGGCGGCGCCTTCAATTTACCTCGGCCAGCCACCATTTTACAATCTTTCTGTCCGCGTACCTCCCGCTATTTTACCGTACGCGTTCCGTTATTTACATCGGCCGGATCTTTCATTTTAAACCGCTCGTTGCGCGGCTTTCCTTTCCCCTCGTTTCGCTTCTCGTGATATTTTTACCGCCTCGGTCTTCTGCCGCGGCTGAATTTCGCGCGAGACCGTGCCCTCGCGAAAATCTCTCGGTTCAGCTCGTTAGGTATCGTTAATGACGACGCCGCGGGGGTCCGTGAGCACGCGTGTAAAGGCCACGATGTGTACAGTGGCGGGATACTTCGCAGCTCTCCGAGACTGCTCCGAAGTTCGCACGATCCTCCGCGACGAAATTGTCGCGACAATCTGGTCTAATCTTCGACGCTGTTTTTAATTCGTGGATCGAGAATTGCGAGTTAATTCGGCTATACAAGCTTGCAACGACAGTGTCGCAAAATTATTGTACCAAAAATGAGGGGTTCCCGAGGTCATTTGAAGTAACTTTCTCCTGAGCGAAAATGCAATCCGAAGCTTCGTTTACGAGTTATTAACGGAAAACGGTGACCAATGAGAGGCGAGATTAGTTGGCGCGAGGCGGCCGAGCCAATGAGCGGTGGAAGCCCAGTTCCGCTGATTGGCTCGACCGTCTAGCGCTAGGCGTGCTCGCTGAACCAATGAGCGGTCGACCGCCTCGTGCCAGCTGAGCTCGTCCTCTCATTGGTCAGTGTTTTTTGTTAATAACTTGTGAACGAAGCCTCGGAGAACATTTTTGTAAAGGAAACAGTTACTTCAAATGACCTCAGGAACGCTTGTAAAATAATTTTGGGACGCCATGTATGCAACCTTTTATTGAGTTCGATTTTGTTCATTGTTATCCCTCGAGGACTTTCGCGGGCCAGATTTCTATTCGTAATATTCGCATTCATGAGTCCGAAATTATTGTTGCTTTGCCATTCGGGTAAATAAATAAAATATAAAACCGGATATATAATAAATAATATATTATCTCTCTCTCTCTCTCTCTCTCTCTCTCTCTCTCTCTCTCTCTCTCTCGAAGATATATCGGTCCTCTATTTTTCCTAAAATAATTATTTCTAAATACGAAGACTGAGCAGATATTTGCTATTTTCGAATCACGAATAATTTAATACGACAGCGTACGAAATATTGTATGTTTGCAGAGTTGTCGGATCAAGTGTCAGAATTCCTTTAATATCTCCGAGCCAATTTGGGTACGGACAAAAACTGATGATGTATGGTACGTGTTTTAGTGGATTTTGGTTTTTTGGTTTTTGAGATAATGCCGTACTTTATTGTTGTATAATGTACATTTTAACAAGATTAATTGTGCTCGCTACTTTCACACGTGTTTCCATCCAATACTCAAGATACTCAAGAAATATATTAACCCTTTTCACTCGAGTGATAACACTGAGTCACCACTAAAATTGTTACATCACGTTCCAAGATTAGCAAAGTTTAAATTTTTTTTAAATTGTTAAAAGCGTAACTGTTGTCACAAGACTTAATTTCATATTCATAAAATGCACTTTGTCGTGTAAAATGGAATAAATATTATAAGTCTCGAAAACTGTTATAGATTTACAGTTAAAGTGGCATCGAGTGCGAAGGGTTAAAAGGCGTCAAAATCGTTCCCCAAATTTCAGAAAGAATGCTAC